CCAGGGACCCCAAGGACCCAGGCACCAGGGAAGGCGTGTGGCCACACAGCACTGGGCAATCCCTCCACCACTTTGAAGCCACGGGATTTAGGAGGCATCATTTCTGGGCTGAAATTATAGGTTGAACTGAGCTAGCCGGGCCTGGAGTTCATCCAGAGGCTTTTGCTCGCAGCAAACCTCACTCTTGCAAAAAACCCAAGAAGGGAGGATTATCCCCCACTTCGTTTCTACGAAAAATGAATGGCAAAGAGACTTGCCCGAGGTGATGCAGGCAGGAAGCAGCCAGGACGAGCAACCAAGCTCAGAGGACTTTCTTCATGTAAGAAACCCGCCGGGAACACCCTCCCTGGGGCCACAAACGAGACATCCCCCCCATCTCCCAAGATTTCACGGTGGCTTCCTTGCAGCAGGGTGCACGCAAAGGGCGCTGCGCTGTCAACACCCTGCTCCCAGCCGCAGGGAAAACCGTAGAGGGGAAGTGGTCAGCCCCAGAACAAAATGCCCTTGCGAGTGCTTACGGAAGATAAACGTGGGGGTAGTTTTCCCACAAACTCCGGGGGTTTGATATGTATCCTTCCTGAAAAAGAGAGAAGATGCAAGCCTTCAGCAAAACAAACAGGCGGTGCGCGGTTACAACGGGGCGAGCCAACGCTACAGCGAAACCAGGAACTGGGGGTGACACTCCAGTCCTTTCAGCCTGCAGTAAAAATCGCGTCCCCAGCAAGAGCTCTCCAAACTTCAGTCGCTTTCATGGGTCTCTAGCACCTCGCTCAAGTTTCACGAGGCTTTGTTTGGGGGTTGAAGGCTGCTTGCTCGGTTGCAGAGAGCCCCAAGTCCAGGATAGGATGGGTTTGGGCAACGCAAGAGGGATGCTCCGGAGGCGTGGGGGTGAGATGCTGGTGGCACAGCTCCAAGTAACCGTGTGCGTGGCCTGGGGGGGCTTCTCTCCCACCGGCATTTCCAACCCCAGTATCACTTAAGCAAAAAGAAGGACTTCTGAAGAGAAAGGGGAAGAGAAAACGCCTACCAAAATAATTTAATAGGCGTTGCATAGTTTAATTTTCCACCTCCCTGCAGTCCCCTACAGCCTCTTGCTTTGTGCTTGCAGGGCACGTTACAGGATGGGGCTTCCCTTCCCGTTCCACCCTTGCACGTCTCCTGCTACAGGGGTGCTGCACCGGGCTTTGCAAAGAGAGACTGGCATGACAAATTCAGCTTGCCCAGGACCTGTCTGTCACTGTTGTCCATGCCCTGTCGGCCCTAAGCCCTTTTTTTTTTTGGTTGGGGGAGGTGCAAATTCCGCAAAGGGTGACCTGCTCTGCACAGACAGGGCATTTGGGGAGCACATCAGGGCAATGCCGGTTTGCACAGGAGGCTACAGCCCCGCAGCTGGTGAGGGACGGGTCTGGCACTGGGTAAGGGCACCTCAAAACCAGCGGCATCGACTGTATTGCTAAAGCTTCCCTCCCCACAGTCCTATGGGGCAGGAGCAGTACCAGCAGATCCCCAGAAATGCTGGCCTGGAAGGGGGTAGTGGTCCTCTATGGGGGGTTGGCAGGAACCCCCGAGCAGTGGGGAGGGGACCTGCCCCCAAGCATCCACCCCCAGCACCGCTGAGGACCACAGCTGGACCCCAACGGCCACCAGTAGCGAAGCATCATCATCACTTCACACTGCCAAAAGAGTTGTGTCTCGCCACTGCTGCCCGTTCTTCCTTCCCCACAAAAATGAAACATTTCCACTCCCAATTTTTCCCCCGGCAGTTTTGGGTTGAAACATCCCCAAAACGACCCAAGGCGCGGCGTGGTTTCCCTGCTCTCGGTATTCCCCTCACCACCAGCTCGCCAACAGAGGGACCACAAACATCTGCCCATTCACCCCACATCCCTGTACAGGGCATTGGAAAACCCCAAGGCACTGAACTCAAAGAAGGAGGAAAATGGGGCTGAGAAAGAAGGTAGGACCTGGAGCAGCGGATGGAGATGACAGGGCCAGGCAGGATTTCTGGGATCCAGCTCCGAAAATATTTCACAGCCCATTTGCTTGTGCCTTGCATGAAGGCAGGAGAAGGTTCTCCCCAAACTGCCCTCACCCAGTGGCTGGCAAGACCCACCGCACTTGAAAACTTCAACTCGCTGAAGTGTTCCCATCTTAGCCCAGGGGCTGGCTGGGGACTCACTGCCGACGTTGGGGTTTTGTGCTCCAGAAACCCCAAATCCCACCCAGGGCACCCAAAGCCCGGCCAGCCCCGTGCCTTACCGTCACCACGACGTACAAGCACCAAATCACGGAGGTGAGGTGGAAGGCAACCAGCTGTCCCGATTCATTGAACTTGCTGTGTTTGACCTTGGAGAGATGGAGGCGCCTGTTGATTTTCTGGGAAGGAGCAGAGAGAGAGAAAAAAGGAACAAAAAAAACATGAGCCACTGGGTCAACAACCCTCCCTCCTCCTCCTCCTCCCCATCCCAAGAAGTCCCCAGAGATGAAAGTTCACTCATCACCACCTCAACCCCCAGATCACCCCCAGAACAGCATTTAACCGCAGCAGGACCACGTTTCCCCACGGTACTTGAGATATTTTGGTGACTCAAGACACTGGAGGGCACTCACATCCAGGGCGTACTCCTGCACCACCGCATGCAGGATGATGGCGATGAAGATGTAGAAGAGGATGGTGACCAGATCCTTCAGCCCATAGTGATACTGGACCAGCTCCCCATCTGCAAAGAGACCAAACAGTGGGACAAATCCCCATGATCCAAACAATTTCCAGGTAAGGCCTTAAGGGTTAGTGGGGTGGGGACTATTCCCAACACACAGCTTGGAGGTGGGAGGCAGAGAGAGGTCATGACTGTGTCAGTGGCTGCAGGGCTGGAAAAAAGGGCTCTAGCCTGAGTCAGTTCATCGGCAGAGCGGAGGGTTTCCCCTCTAGTAGTTACACACCTCAAAGGAGGTGACACTCGGGACACTTCAAGCTTCTCCTGCCAGAGGTGAGGGGCTGGGGACAGCCCAGCTGTGGAGACAGGAATTTGTCAGCCTGGAGGGACGAGGACACAGAGGCAATGCTGAAGCAGGGGGTGGGCAGGCAGAGCTTGCTCTCGCTGGGAGCATTAGGGCTCGGGATGGGACTTCCACCCCCTTGGTTACCACCCAACACCCAGTCTCTCCCACTCATCCCTGGAAGCTGCTGGAGCAGGATTCAGCTGCCTAAATGCAGCTGCCTTGTGCTATTAAGAGATCTGAGACAGCAGCACAGGGCTGGTGGATGAGAAATAGGACCCAGGGGAGGCCCCGCTCTTCTGGAGCAACAGGAGACCCAACAGCACCCAAAAATACCTCAGACGTCTGCATTTAGGCAACTAAATCAGCCCTGCAGCTTAGGGGGAAGAAGCAGAGTCGGGAAAGCTGCTGTCCTCGTGGCACACTGCAGAAAGCATCGCCATGCGGAGCTCAGCCCAGCCCCAGCTGCTGCTCTCCCTCACCCTGATCCCATCCACCCTCTCCCAATATCAATGCTGGGAAGCGACTTGTCTGTCACCAGCCCTGTTTACCCTCGAACAAAGCTTCAGTCTGGGTTTCTAAGATCTGAAGTACACGGATAAGATTTGCCTAGGGTTTATGACAACACCTGGCATAAGGACGTGAAAACACTTGGTCCTCAGGAGCCCATAGAGCTCATAACCCCAGCGTAAGATAAAAGATAGAAATGCAAATCTAAAGACAATAGTATTGTGCATCTGCCTCCGCTCTCCAGGGCGTTTCAGAAGCTGCTCTAGCAGGAGCCTTGCACACACTGAGCATGGGAGACGAAAGCGAGATCCTTGTTGTGAGGGATGTGGAACAGCCTTGAAAAAATTCAGGCCCGCAATAACCCTTCCTCCGAGCAAGCTTGCTGCACCAAGGTCTCTCTCCCCACAGCCTCAGCTAGCTCATGCCCTCTATTGATACCCCCAAACCTGGTCCTGGTGAGATGGTGATGCGCCCCGTGCCGAGATTTCTGGCAGCAGGAAGAATAACTGACTTGGCACAAAGGCAGCGGGGGTTGTCTGGACCATGCAGACCACAGCTCAGTCTGGAAGCTGGGTAACTTCTTCAGCCATGAAGTTCAAAGATTTTAAGGGCAGACCTTTTACCTTCCGCGTGTCTGCCTCATCCTAGTTTCACTAATCCCCACAACCCTGCTCTTCCTTGGATGATTATTCAAAGGCTTCTAATTAACGGCAGGTTTCTGCCACCAAGCCAGGCTCTGGGCCAAAGGCGTTTGGCCCATCCTGAGCCCTGAGCTCTACCCAAACCACCTCCTGCTGCCCCCATGCTGGTGCCCAGATCGTTGCCAGCCCTGGAGGGGCTCTCAGCTAGGAAGGTAGCTACCAGCAGCCAAAATGCAAACAGAGATCGAGGCTCCAGCTGCCTCCTGGCTGGGAGCAGGGGCACGTCCTCGGGTCTGTCGGGCTCGGACCTGCGCCAGCTCGGAGCCTCCTTGAATTACTCTCCGTGTGCATCAGGACCACGAGCTGCCTGGAGCAGGGATGCTGTTGCACCACGTGCATCTCTGCACCCTCACCTTGGGCTATCCCCAATAAATAAAGCGAGATGGGAATCACCAGCGCAGCCCCCGCTGCTTAGCAAAGAGCTAAATCCCTCCTGCTCCTCGGCAGGACGCAGAGCTACTCTGGGCATGCCATGAGGCAACCGGATCTTGCTTGACCAGGCTTGGAGGAGGATCCTCACCCTGCAGAGTGCACAGAGCAGCCTGACCATGGCAGAAACAGGGTAGAGAGGAAGCCCTAAAAGCCCCTGGGACAGCATTTCTTCCCAACCCCGCCAGCACAAGGGCGAGCAGACACGATCAGCGTGCTCTGAGCCACTCACACTTTGCTTTTCCCCCACATATCTTATTTTTAAAACCTCGTTTGCTACCAGCCAGGGGCCCAAGCAGTGTGCACTGGCAGAGGGTGAACACAGGGGTTTGGGGCAGACCACGATTTGACCCTCCCCTTGGGGTACCCGCAGTAGAAGCATCTCTTACCTGCTGTAGGCACGCTAACATTATACTGAGGTAAGATAAACAGGAAGGCAGTCTTGGCTGTAGCCTGTCAAAGACACACGGGGGGTGGGGGGGGGAAGGCAAATCAGTTGTTGAATCCATCCCTCTGACACCATTTACTCCCCTTTCGTACCGTGCTGGGAAAGGCAGACCCTCCAGGGAGGTGTGCAGGCACCGGCTTCACTCGCAGAAACGCCTTTCGGCAAGGGGATTGCTAGGGAAGAGGTTTACCAAAAGGGACTTGGGATGTGGGAGGAGAAAGGGATGTAGAAAAGACGGAGAAACCTGGAAAAGCAATGCAGCTGGAAAAGCCACCGGGCAGCCTGGCCGGGGAAGCTCCCCACTTCCCCTCGAGGACGAGCATCCTCTAGTAGCACGGACCGTCGTCACACGCGACCCGCTGCTCGGGGGACACCAGGAGCCCAACCCAGCAGGTCATTTGCGTTAATTAAAACCATCCTCATTCCACTCTGGGCAGCCACGCCAGGAGCCCTGCCCGGGTAGGGAGGGCTGCACTCAAGCAAGCTCAGAGGCTGCAAAGCCCCACGGGCTACGCGTGGATTTAGCCCCCGCATCTTTGTGGAGACTCTTCTAATAGCAGCAGCCACGGGATGGGCGAGGCTGGACCCCTTTAGAGACCGTGCAGGTACCCACGGGTGGTCCCACGGGGCAGGGGTAAAGCAGCTTTGGCAGAAGAACTGACCGTTGCGCTGGCCACACACAAGGTCCCAGCCGTGTGTCCAGCATCACAGGCTGGCCCAAAAAGGGGAAAAAAATAAAATAAAATAAAAAAGCCTGGGATAAGACATGAGGCCCCCAGCAAACCAGGGCTCTGCTGCTCGCTCTTCATCTATTGCTTTTAATTCAAGTGAATGACCCTTCCCAGCAGCGGAGCAGGAGGCTTTGCGGGGATGGGGCAGAGCATCTCATCCAACGCCAAACACGCCTTCATCCCATCCGACCCCACACGGGCAGCAGGACTCCAGAGATTTTTACCTCCCCTCCAACGCTCAGACACAACCAGCCCCCAAAAAACCCATCCAACACCGATGGAGACGAGCTGCATTTCGCACTGACGTAGCTGCAACCATTTCAGAGCTGCAAGCTATTAAAAACCCTGGCTGGAAATATTGCTTCACATTTTGTGGGACATAGCTGGAGGGAGGGGGGGACGATGTGGGGGCTTTGCCAAGTGTTCCCATCCTGCCCCCATGAGCATTGAGCAACCAGCTGGTGGCTCCGCTCCGCCGGCACAGGCAGCGCTGCCCATCCTCTTGCAGCCCTGGCTGGCGGATAGCAAACTCCACGGTGTGTTTTCAGGATGTTTGGGGATTTTTTTTTTGATCATTTTTTTTTTTCCCCCCACATAAAAAAAAAATAAAAAAAGAAACCCTACGTGTTGTGCTCTGCTTGTGGAGACAGAGACCACGGGCAGAGCGTGGGGTAGTAATGGAAAAAGCACATCGCCTGGCCTCGTGCTGGCTTCAGGAGACACTTCTGGCTCTTGCAAACCTTGCTGGCTAGGAAAGCAAAGTTGCTTCATCCCGGAGCGGTACAGCACAACCGGGACCTGGACTTTTCATCCAAGCGTCGTCACAAGCTGGCGCAGGGCACGAAACAAATGCATAAACCCAGCGGCGGCCGTGAACCGCAGGGATGGGCGGCCGCGTCCCGGATGTGCCGATGTAGGTTTTAACATCCTACCAGAGAACCTGGCTGACATCCAGAGGTGTAAACAGCTGGAAACAAGACATTATCTCCAGAGAAAGTCTCCTAACCTGCTGGAGGGGCCATAAGCCAGACTTGTGGGGCTGAGAAAACGACCCTGGAGCATCTCCGGGATGGGGAGCAATGCCTGCACGGTGCTCAGCCCCAACACTGTTTGTGAGGGCTCTCCTAATCTTTTCTGGAAGGCCTGGCAGGAAGGTTTCCTCTACAGATAACTTGAGGATCAAGCAATGCTTTGTCCCATCTCCACACCTGCCTTGGCTTCCCACAGGCCAGTGGGCCACCATCTGCTTCAGGGGCCACCTCTGCACCTCTTGACCCCTCCACCTTTCATTACAGAGATGTAGCAGGTTGTTTTCTAAAGCCTGTATAAAATGTCTTACAGCCTAAGACAAATGTAACCCCCTGGACATAGGCAAGCTCCTGACAGACCGATTTCCAAAGACAAACCACCTCTCTTCTCCATCTGATGGATGGGGAAGCCCAGGCACACACCTGCAGCCACTCACAAAGGGCCACAGCAGCAGCTTCGGGTCCAAATTCGAACCTCCAGGCATCCAACCTTCCCATCCACCTCCGGACACCTCACAGACCTTCTGCGGAGGGAAGGTCTCCTCTCAGGCATCAAAGGCGTTCCTTTCTCCTGCAACTGGTTGGGAAGCGTTCACACAGACCATGGAAACGGCTCAAAGTGCGCAGGATCCCATGCTTCGCCCTGGCGCAGTCCCCACACACGCTGCCCCGTGGGCACCAGCAGAGCTTTAACGGCCAAAGCAGCGTTTTCGGAGATGGGTCCTTGGGCTTTCCACGGCCTCAAAAGACTGGTTGCACCTCGCTTTGTGAGCGCCGGCACCTCCACGCCTTCCTCGCTGCAATCGCAGAAGAAACCCAGAACAACACGCTCCGTCGTCCAGCTTAGCTCTGACCTCCGAGATTCACCACCCGTGAGGCCACTGGGGTCCTAATCATGCCCCACACCCTTGGCTGGGTCACCTCCACCTACCGCCACAAGGACATCTCAGTTCAGACAGGTAAAGAGTCCCAGCTTCCAGCAGCTGAGGTTGACGGAGCATGAAACACACGGGACAACACACCTTGAGCAGGACACTGCTGACATCCCTCCACCCTTGAAGGAGAAGGACAACCTGCACGCCCGTGGAGGGACCCACATTGTTTCGCTGTTGCTCACAATAGCAGCGGGCATGGAGCCATAGGTGACTTGACTGAGGTCGTAGCTGACCTCCATCAAGTGAACATCAGGCTCCAAAACCCCACGCTGGAGCTGTAACCCCCCCTCCCAGCACCCCCACCGCCACAGCAACTGGGAGCACCCATGGTACGTCCATTGCTCTACAGCTCTGCGTAGCATATAGGGACAGAAACACCACTGAGCAGCTTCAGACTCCTGGGAAAGGGGGAATGCTTGAACCATAACCCCCAGCAACACCATCTCCAGCTCCCCCCCCCCGGTCAGAAACCAGGTTTCCTTGGCTCGGGAAGGAGCAATGAGCACCGGGGATGGCAAAGCTCAAGAGCTTGCATCGAGTATTTCGCAGGCGGCCAGAGAAAGGAGAAGTTTCTAACGGGAAGAGCAACGTGAGGATTATTCAGAGGCACAAGACACTCTGAAACAAGATGCTGGTACGGGAAAGGAAGCGCCAGGCACGCTCCTGCCTTGCAGGGCAGCAAGCAGAGCCGGAGCTGCCGCAAAACTGCTGCAGGCAGGGGCAGAATTGGGCCTTTCTGGGTGTTACTACATTTTTTTTTTTTTTGGTTATGCTGTGAGGCCACCTCCTCAACCTGCTTCTTTGGGTTTGCCCTCGTATCTCCAGCCTTTCCTCAAGGCAGCCAGAAGTCCAAATCCTACAGAGCATCACCATGACTCAGGCAGGGATTTCTACAGGCTGGGAGAGGGATTTGTCTGCATGGGACAAGGTGAGCGGGGACCATACAGGAAAGACTGTATATTCCTCGTTCGCTTCTTGCCTTGCATTAAGGGCACCTCAGTGCCACCCACCACTGCCCAAGGGGGTGTGGGAGATGCTCCTCATCCCGGCCTCGTCCTGCCTTGCATGAGAGATGTGTCTGAACCAGCTAAATTTGGGAAGCAGCTGTCCTGGGGGCTCTTTACAGCCACACAGAGTGAACAGAATCTTCATCAGTGAGCGCGTTTCTGGTGGTTAATGACACTAACGCGAGGACTAACCCAGCCGGACAGTGAAGAGGCAAAACTCAACATGTCCATCAAGACCACAGCTTCCTGCGATGCTCCGAGCAGCCAGGACAGGGCTCGGGCCGTTGCTGATGGAGCGATATGGCTAGAAATCAAACCAGCACGTCCACCTCGCAGCCTTCAAGGGACAGCCAAACCATCCCCACGCTGCTGTGCGGTTACTACGCGTCTACTCTCCACCGCTACGCACCTACGCCCCGATAACGCGGCGACCGGCAAGACTCACACCCCCGCCAGCCTGCAGTTTGCTGCCCAATGCAAAGCAGCAAAGCTCCCCCCACCCTATTTAGAAGATGCTGGGTTTTTCCCTGCCGTGAAACGCTGTAAGAGTCCAAACACAAAATCCCAGTTCCACTTTTGCAGGCACGCAAGTGGCTTTTAACAAAGGCATCTGAGCCCACGCCTCCAGGCAGCTTAGCACCTCTCCCAAAATCTACCCGCTGCAACTCTCAAACCCTAATATTTTCAGCAGCGAGGGATAATTTTTGAGCATCCTTTGCAGAGAGGTACCAGGTCACTCCAAGAAACCCAGTTCCCTTCCCGAAAGCCTCAGCCCAGCAGGATTTGCAGAGGCCGCGCTGTCTTCACCCCAGCCGGGAGCCCCCAGGCGCGCAGCCGTCCCCACGGTCCTGCTTGGGTTAAAACCGCTTCGAGGGAAGGAAGCGGCTCCAAACCTCTGGCAGGGGAGGCTGGGGGAGTTTCTGCAGTCTGAGCCGGGAAAATATTTCCAGGGCTCGGAAAAACAACTCAAACTAATTAAAGATAAAATGCTGTCCAAACGCTTTTCTTACAAATTGGGTTGTGGTGGTTTTTTTTTTTAACCCCACCAGCCGGAGCGCTTATTGAAAGCAAAAACTTGTTGATCCACTGTATGCATTGACACAGGCCCTATATGTAAACTCAACACCAAACTTTGGACCAAAGCCTTTAAAAGTAAACAGTCGGCTTTGACAAAAAGCCCTCCCCGAGGGCGGCGCAGCCCCTCTGCTCCCACAGACACGCTCGTCCCCAAGCACAACACGATTATCATTGCCTCACACTCCCTCCTGTTTATTCTCTTTTTAAAAGCAGACCTAAATTCTGCC